GATTCACATAAGATGAGTCACAGTCCAAAGAAGGAATAAGTGCTAGTTTTTGACAGCCCAGTAAAGTGACTATAGTTAACAACAATATATTGCATATTTCAAAATTACTGGAAGGGGAGATGTGAAATGCTCCCAATGCAAAGAAAGGATGCACACGTGAGTCAATGGATATTCTAAATACCCTGACTTGATCATTACACATTCGACACATGTATCAAAATATCACGTGTACCCCATAAATATGTACAAAATATTATGCATCAGTACAAATATACAGAAAAAAGAGATTAATTTTCTTCTCTAGAAAGTACAGGGGAAAGAAGTTGGAAAACTTTCACAATAGAAAGTTTTTGCAGTTCGAAACAAACACATAATAAAAGTCAATCAATCAATCAGCGACCAATAGACCTTCCACCAGAACCATCCATGTAGCACTCGAAAGCAGTACTCTTTCAAGTGTCTCATGGATAGTTCTGGAAGAAGGTCAGAGGAAGATGAGGTCAATGAGGGCTAGAAAGATTGTTCTAGAAAGCTTCCTGTGGGAAGTGGGATTTGGAAAGGTGGGAGGCAGCGGGAATCTCAACTCCTGTGAACAGTGTGACACGGATAAAGCCTGGGGGGAAGGTGGCATTTTCCATGTAGCAGCTTGCCAGCCTGACGAGAGGAGAGAATGCATGGTAGAGTGTCGTGGGAAAGTCTCAAATTTCTCAAGAACAGTCTTGGATTTTGCTATTGTGCATGTGTGCATGTGTGTGTACACTATATTTATGTTAATGCAAAGTTGTTAAAAAACATAATTCAAATTTGAAAATTGTTTGTGAAGACATAAAGACAACATATGTGAAAACACAGAAAATGCTCCAGTCATGCTTGTGCTTTTGTTTATTCTGTCCCATGTCTTCTCTGTGATGGTAAATGGTTGGCAAGCCAGGGATAATCAAAAGCCACAGAAAATTCTCAAATGTAATTTTACCCATTCAGTTTCACACTCGCTTTTCTTTTCTTCTTTAGCACAGCTGTAAAAACAAAGTAATTTAACATATTGGTATTTTTTCCTTTGGTTTTAATTCCCATTTGTCTGTAATAAACAACAAAATGGTTTAAAGCAGGCATCTAAAAGGAGAATTGATCCAGATAACCTGGTTCATCTGCAGACCTGGTCTATCAGCCCTATTTCTGGTTGGGGATCCCAAGATATGCTTTTGACCCCAAGTAGACCAGAGATTGTGATCATAACCCATGCAGATGATTGCTAAAGCTTATGACTAATTCCCTTGCGCTTCTTAATTCAAATTTAAGGTATATTTGCATGAACTAAAGAGCTTTAAAGAAATAAACAAGGGCCACACTGCAGAATCTTTTAGTTGGTGGTATATCCTTGAACATGTACGTTCCATCTGAGGATGGGTCTCTGTGACATTTCATCAATGAGTTGGTTACTCAGGTGACTTACATACATTGTTAATGGGTCAGTGGTAGAGTACCCCTGCTTAGTACCATAGGAAATAGTTTGTGTTCATTTGTTTAGTGTTTGTGTTGTAGGGAGTTACAGCTCGCAAATTGGCAACATGCGTCTAGAGGATCTATGTTTGCTATACAACAATGAGTGGTAAAATAAACTGGGTGGCTCAATAGAGACTAGTAGGCATTGGAAAAAATGTAAAGTGTGCGGTATGTGCTATTTGTGATCCATTTTTGATGCGTTAATAGTCTTACAAATTCAAAAACCAAAAGCAACATAATATTATCTATCGTTTTTCTGACAATGAGCTTGCTGTTGTTAAAAATGTAATCTTCAGGCCACCAGTGGGTTTTCTAGTAAGCTGAGAAACAACTATCTTCTAGTCTTAGTAACTAAAGCACTACAGACAGCTCTAACTTATACAAAAGTTATAGTCCAATATTTCATTGTATTCCTGGTGTCTTTCTTTTTCTATAGACTAAGCAATGTTATAAATAGCAGTTATGCTATCAGACTAGCACACAAAAGACTCTTTAATAGATGGTAGTTAAATAAATTTTTGTTGAATGAATAAGTAAACAACATTAGCTCTCTTTGCTTGGATTTTGTATCCTTAAATCAAAGGATCATGTGGTATAAGAGAGAGAAAGTATTTCCTCTTACTTTTCAGGGAGATAAGTTAGACCTGTGCAGTGTTTTATAGTAAGTGAACATGAATCTCTTTCATTTCTGGAGCTCCCTGCTTCCGATTTATTTACTTTGACCATTCCACTTTGGATGAGTTAGGACTGTTTTGCCCATTGTACCTGTTACACAATTTACTTACTATTCTCTGCTTCTTCTCTATCAAAAGCCCCTTCTTTAGTCAAACTGATTTTAATTAGATATTAGAAAGAAAAGTTTTAGATACAACTGATTTGTATGATGCTGTGACTGATGAATAACACCATAACCACACTAAATTATCCAACTTTTTAAAAAGTAGG